GAAATGTCAAAGCATACTGAGCATCTTTCTCTTTGACACCATGTCTGAAATCCCACGTGATCTGTCAAATACTAATGCATGAAAATCCTAACCTCAAAAAAATCACCCGTTATTTGTGTATGTATATACGATTACCATTTCTAGGTGTTTACCTGTTGTTTTTGTTTAGTGGCGGCGGCTAATTGTCGGCATCCGAATTTACTTAAAAGGATCTTGCATATCAGCTGCTACTTAAACGCCTTCTGATTATCGTTTGGCCAAGGTAAATATTTACTGATACTTTTTTAAACTTTGTCTACTAATGTAGATTATTTGCTTGCGCTGAGAACGAATATAAAAAATCTTGTTTATTTTTATGTGCATTTTTAATTAATCTAATGAGCTCAAAAACTTTTGTTTTAAATCATTTCTTATCAGATATAAAAAATATACAAAAATGCGAGAACAAATGGTATGATCGAAACTAAATAAATGTCGTTCTCGCAGTTTTGTTCTTAAGAAACCAAACCAAAACCAAAACCGAACTGAGAACAAAATTGTCGATACCGTTCTCTATGGGAATTATATAAGAACGAAACCCTGTGGAACGTTCCCAAAGAGAACAAGATGCGAACAATACTTTCGGGAACATTTCTAAGATAATAAAACGGGAACAAAAATCTAAGGAACTTTCTCTCGAAGAACAATTAAGGGAACTAAAGTCTCACGAACTTCCTGACAGAGAACGAAGCGGAACATAGCGTTCGACTAGTTTGAAATGTTTGAATATTAATATTAATCAAACAAGAACTTAATGATAATTGTGCAATAAAGTCNATTTTTTTTTTTTTTTTTTTTTTGTTTTATTTTGCACAGAAAAAGAATATGGTTCAATAAATGGACAGTTATTTGAAATGATTCAGCTTTTCTCTGGCTTAAAATTAACAATCGATTTACCATACCAACACGCAGATACCCCTCTCAAATTACAACGCTTTTATCAACTTGCAATGTTTAACGTTAAGTTCTCAAAACTTTTGTTCTTGTTTTGTTCTCCAGCAGAACGTTCGCCAGACCTTTGTCCTTATTTGATCCTCCTTGAAAAAGTTTTCGATACGTTCGTTCGTATTTTGTTCTCATTTTAAACGTTATCGAAACTTTCGTTCTCATTATGTTCTTCTTGAAAACGTTCCCGAGGGTTTTGTTCGCGTTTTGTTCTTTTAGGAATCGTTCACAAACCTTTTTTCCGTTCTAACTGTTCTCAATACTTTTGCTCCAGTTTGGCTGTTTTGTGGGAAGATTCATGACACTACCATTTGTTCTCGGGCAGAGCTAAACCAAGCGTTCTCGGTCCTTGCTTTTTTATGGATTTAAATTGGTTAGCTTCTAATTATTTTTAACCGACTTCAAAAAAAGGAGGAGGTTTTCTGTTCGACATGTTTATTGTATTCTCAATAATCTAATTGGTACCGCAGTTTTTATAAAACTGGTATCGTCCAGCTTGCAGAGACTCCACCTTGAGCACCATTTAACGCTAAATACGAAAGGAAAATTTAAATAATCTCCAGATTCGGTCGGGTAGCTCTGGGTTGAAATGTCTGATAATTTTAAATTTTTGTTTAATGGCACTAGTTTTGTCAGTTGGCAGGCTGTGTGTCTTTCTCTCTTGGACTCGACTGTATATCTACGAAGCCCACTGCCGATAGGTTTACTCCGAGTGGACTTTTTCTAAGCAAGAAACGGTCGGTTTATGTAGGGACTCAGATCTGTGTTCACCTTTCTTTTCCTGCCCTCAGCACTTTTCCCAACAAAATGACGATGGCCCAAGATACATATATTGTGAAGCATTTTGATTGTGATGTGCTCGCTATTTCCATTTTGCCGCATTACCATTGAGCTCTTAAGGTAGTGTCACCCGATTGGTACATTTGTACAGATTGATTTGTACATTTTTTATATTGGGCTATTGGTAAAAAATAAAAAATAAATAAATCGGACTACAATTTGTTTTTGTGTAGTCATACGATTGGTACAATACAGCGAACTTATATTGAAAAATTTGAACAAATAGGTTTTCGTAATTGGGACAAAGAAAAATATTCGCGCATTTGCACGATTGGGATACGATTTGCACCAAATTTTGAGCATATTCGCAATCGTGTGACACTCTCTTTAAGGCTAATACCATATTTCTGGTTTTCGTACGATAACCTTCAACGGAATGTGATTTCTTGCCATCTCTGCAAATTAAAATCCTGGGTTGTTGTGTCCACTAGAGTCGATGCAATCAACCACGCTGGCTGGTAGTAGATATTGTTGATTAACTTCAAAAATTCATTTTCAGATTATACATTTAATCTGCACTTAAAAGACCAATATTGACTATTTAAATATGAGATATCAGATATGTAACCCTGTGTTTGTACCAAACAACCAAGATTGATAGATAGGTTATCAATCTTGCCAAAGAAAAATCAGTTGTTCAATACAAAATGTAAACAAACAAACAAATGCAAGAACAATTTCAAGGAGCAAGCAATAGTGTTGCCACTTGTTTGGCATTTTAAATAAAGTTGATCTGAAACCCAACGGAAGGTAAATGGCATTTAAATAACGATCCAAAATTAAACCTAAGTGTTGTTTAAATATTTATTTGAAATTGACCCTCAGTTCTGGTAATAATCAGTCAGCCCACTCGAATCTCGCTAACGTCACAGATTAAGGCCTAATCTGCAGTTAGGATCGTGCCAGAGCACTTTTCGCCACTCTTTTTCTGTCTTGTTATCAGCGTGCTCCGGTTTGGCCACTGATTTGTGTGGTTAATGGTCATGGTCAAAACATTTTTCCAACTTTGGGCTAATACCAACCAATATTACAACTTCTCTTGAATCATATTTTATTGATAATCTCTTAAGTTTAGATTTAGTTCAAATTCATTATTTTGAAAACAAACTTAATAGAACTCTTGATCTCATTTTCGTTTCTGGCAACTTTGATTCTACTATCTCTCAATGTCTTTTTCCGCTCTCTCCTGCTAACAAAAACTATGTTTCAATGCTGCTTAGAGTCGAATTTTATGCATTTTCCGTCAACAAACCGGCCAACACAATTGCCTTTAATTACTCTTCCTGTGACTTCTCTAGGCTTATTCATCTGTTATGTGCTATTAATTGGCATGACATGCTTTCTGGCTTAAATGTCACTGACTGCTTTAATGCATTTAAATCGACACTGTTGAATATATGTTTCTCTAATATTCCGCAAATAAAAAAGCGGTGCTATAAGTTCCCATGGTATACACCTAAATTAAAGAAACTTAAAAATCTGCGTAACAAATTCTACAAAAAGTATATAAAAACTAAGAACCAATAATTCTGCATCAAATATCAGTGTTATTTAAAAGAATTTAATTGCCTAAACAAATTTCTTTACCGTAATTACATACTTAGTGTTGTGTTGAGAATAATATTAAATCGAGTCCTAAGGCTTTTTGGCAATTCATTAAATCCAACAAGTCATGTGCGAATGTACCAGCTGCCGTGTGTTTGGATGATAAAGTGGCGAGCTCTCCGTGTGAGGTTGCCAATTTATTTACCGAGTTTTTCCAATCTAACTTTGTCCGAGACAATATAGACTTCTATAATCTTCCCGAATGTAATCAGTTTTCTTCTCTAAATTTTAGTAATTTGAATCTATCCTCTGTCAGAAGGAATTTTAGCTTTGAATCTTTAAATATTAAAAAATGTTGTCAAGTCACGTACTCCAAATCTCGTGATCCTCTGCAATCGTCATACAATATCTCTAATAATGTCCTTCAATCTGTGGATGAGATCAAAGACCTTGGAGTGATTTTTGACTCACATTTCTCTTTCTCAAGTCAGATCAATTTTATTATCTCGAAGTCCTACTCGATTCTAGGTTTTGTGAGACGAAATAGTGCTAACTTTACAGATCCTTACACAATTAAATTATTGTTTACTGCGTTTGTTCGGTCCAGGCTGGAATATGCTTCATTCATTTGGAGACCGTATCACCAATTTGCTATAGCAAGAATTGAACGGGTGCAAAAGGTGTTTCTGAAATTCGCTCTAAGATGTTTAAATTTCTTGGACCCTATTCCATCCTATAATTCTCGCCTGCTTTTAATAAACTTAAAGTCGCTTGAATGCAGAAGGTCAATACTATCGCTGTCTTTCGTTTTTAATTTAATTCAAGGGAACATTGATAGTGAGTTTGTGTTGCAACGCGTAAACTTTCTTATTCCGGCAAGAACTTTACGAAGCTCTTACCCTTTTTACCTTAAGATTTTCAAAACCAATTATGAATCCAATGCACCAATTGCACGGGCGCTTCGCGAATTCAATGAGATCTCGAATTCCATTTCGTTTGATTTTTCAAATACTAAGAATCGGTTGACTCTTCTGTTGAATTCATCTTTTTAACTCTCATGCATTTAATAAACCAATGTAGCAATTTTTATTTTAGTCGTAATTTATCTTCGCACTAATTTGGAATGATTTGTATTAGCACTAAGTGAGTAGTCAGTAAGAACCATTGTGTTTTTTGACTAATTAAATAAATAAATAAACCTGTTGTTGTTTATGGACTGCCAGACAGGCCAATTCCCAGCTCGTAAAGAGTTAAGGCATTGAACCAGCCTCTAATAAGTTTATCTCAGATAATGATTAAATATCATTTCGGCATCTCTGAGTTATTGAGGTGCTTAAGCACACGGCATTTATTTTTGATCTTAGCTAAGTATGTACAAGGGTGGTAAAGAGACAAAAGACGTAGTTGAATTTTCGTTTAAAAAAGTAGTATTTGAGAGTCACAGCTGCCGTGTTTCTACTAACAAAATATGTGTTTAAGGCACAGAAAATTTTTAAAACCTATTTGTGAATCCAGACTCTGTTACCATGGAGTTTAGCGCTTCAATTTCCCTATGATTATTTCCAGTTCAACGTTGGGGAACCTTATATGCCTAAATCCCGGAACCCGTCAGTAAGAAGACATTTGAATAACTTTTCATCTGAAAATTCCTTTCAATATCGATATAGCTGGCTAAAAAGATATGTATGTAAGTTTTTTTACAAACCTATAGTTTTAAAATTAGCACCAGTTATAACATACCTCAATTACTTCCATATGTGGTATAGATGTCTCTAAATTCATTTCTATGGCTTACTTTTATATTCTCCAAACATCTGTTTTTGAAATGACGGCAAATTGTTTTACGAACTGTAGTGGTCATTAATCTTTAATTGCAGACAAAAGCAAAAATTACTTAGAACGTGACATTTCTACAATGATTTGTGGTGCACATTTGATTTTTCGCCAACCTTACATACATACATATCTACCATTTGAATATGTACACACACTCTCATGTGCCCAAATGTACATATGTTTGCCTGTAAGTATATTCGCTATAATAAATTATAAATTTTGCCATTAATTTTTAACATTTGTCGTTAGTTTGTTTGATTTTTGATTTGGCAATGCACCAAAGTGATTGACAGCCCATCATCAATAAAGTGAAATGTGTCGAGTCCATATAATGAAGGGTGTGCCCGCTGCGCTCCGATTTCGCCAATTCTTTCGTTAAGGGTGTGTGATGCGTGCACGATGATGATCCGCTTGGCTGCGATCGGCACACGCTGAATGAAACAATACGCTTCAAATGCAATGCTACATCCTTATAAATGTGCATATGTACGTACATATGTATGTGTGTGTGTGTGTGTGTGTGT